CAGAAACCACTATCTATCTAGGTTGCAACCCCCGCGGCCTCTTGGTGTTGAAGAAATTCGTTCCCTTCATTTGAAAATGGGCCTTGCGCAAGGCCCTATCTTCAACATGGAGCGACCGTTAGTGTGACGTCACCTCGTTTAGTCATTCTGATTTAAATGGGTTTGTTCGTTGAAAAATCGCTTAAAACTTGGTCTGAACTTTGTTGTGGTGCCTACAGAGTAAAAAGAATCAGCTTTATGACAGTAATGTGGCCTGGGGAAGGAGGTAATTTTGGGCTGTGACGTCACATATTTGAAAGTTTGTGTTTGGAATATGGGAAGCCTAAGATGTTAAATGAAAAATAAATGCCAGAACCGTGTTCCTGGTCATCCAATCTATAAAGTCGGGCACAACTTAACTGGTTTTAACAACATTTTAGAAGGTGGGATAGTTCCTTTAACCCTGATTTGGTTCAGCAAACTGAAAGTTTGCCGATAGATTCATGCGTGTAAAAAATCCAACCATGGTTATTGTTGACGATCCGTTCAGATCCTTCGTCATTTTTTAGGGGGGGGGGACGTAAATATGTTTTTGCTTTACAGAGATCAAATGTTATCACAGTTCACCGTTTACTGATGTGTTGCACTAATTGAGATGGAATCGTCTGGGATACCTAATACTTTCATAGCTTGTGTGTGATGGAATCCCCACCGACCATTTGTCCTGGATTTTTTAATTAAATGTATCCATGAAACCGTAGATCCAGAATAAGCATTTCTTTTCAATGGTATGTGAGATTGGAATGGGATGAATGATGATCGCTTGCTTCCTTCCGAAAACGAAACTGTCCAATTAACTCAAAATGCATCGGCCGGGAATCGAACCCGGGCCGCCCGCGTGGCAGGCGAGCACTCTACCACTGAACCACCGATGCCTTGAATGCATGTTTTGCGCCGCACGGGGCTGAGTGACGGTGTCACGACTCGCCTACTAACGTCATGACTGGTGGAGCTGCAGGGCCAGTTTTTACAGATACGGGCAGACGCCAACGGCAGCGTCAGGGCTCTGGTTAGCAGCACTACAGACACTAGAACACTCAAAAGGCTCTGCGCCCATTAGTTTTTTAAGGGAAAGGATCGGGAAGAGGTCAAAGGCACTTTATCCGCTCATTAGCAACTCACTAGGTCCAAAAATTTGCAAGTTTGGGTGGGAAGCGACACCCAAATGAAAATATTTTTCACTCTCACCTCCAATTTCCCAGAGCGATTTTTCACTCCCTGTTTTACCAATCGGGAACATCTGCGTGTACCTTTACCTCTCTCCATATTTTATTTAATCATCCTATAATGCAGCTCCCAGATCACCCTCTAACATTCACAAATAAATTGTTGATCCTTGTTTTCAGCTCTTTTTAGTGCCTTTCTGACTGGCAATTTTCCACTCTCAGCCCTCTTTGTAGTGACGAATATTCCACTCCGACACCCAAGACAAAGTATATCTTTGGGACACTGCGTGACTAGGTCTGTTCGATTCCTTTTGAATTTTTCCCTCTATGAATTTTTATCCGCGCGCATTAATTCAACCGTGAGCCCTAAAAAGGTTATCAGCGGCCAGGCCACGCCACCCTTGGCCCGACCGTTTCCATCTTCGGACCCGGTCAGGTGATTGCCGGTCGACGGAAACGACTCAGCCAAGTTGTGACGCCGTCACGGCCCCGGTGCCGCCCTGGCAAAGGTCAGCGGCAGAAGTCGGAAACGAGTGTTCGCTTCTTCCTCCACATCGCCGCTCAGCCTCGCAGACCGTATAAGCGCGTGGGGTCACAGGGCGGCCAACTTGGCGATCGGGAAAGGTCACCGAGTGTCGAATCTTTGATGGACTTGCATCGAATGGCTCGCATCTTGGCTTGGGCCGTTTACATTACCTTAATTTTGTATTGTATTACGGATCTCATGTCGGCATCGACTTTCACTTTTGTAAGAGATGAACCTTCCTTGCACCATGTCATTGCTTATGGCGATTTGTGACTGGATGCCTATCCGGATGTGCGACGTTATATTAGCAGTTTCGAGCTCCGGGCTGATTTGATATACATTATACAACCATTCCCACTGCAGCGTGTGCCTCTGACGCTCACCTTTCTTTTCACTCTGGCTGCTTCTGGCCGTCTTTATTGACAATAAGTGTGTCACTGCGCACTTCCGAGCTGTATTGATACGGCCTGCTCCGTCCGGGACTGAGCATCTGTGAAGCTATTCGACGCGGGCTCGAGGGCGGACGCCCGGTCTCGAGGCAGCAATAAATCCTATCCGAGATGGCTCGCGAGCTCCGGGATCTCCCGTCCTTGAATGAGCTGAGACATCTGGGTCTCGTACCTGTCGAGCGCTCAAAATCATGCTGAGCAGCGGCGGGACCTGTGATGGCAAATGCTGATCGCTCAAGATTATCCCGAGCCGCGGTAGTGCAGACTGGACCCGGCAGCGAATGTCGAGCGCTCTAGATCTTTCAGCGACGCTCTGTTCTGTGTCCGGACAGCCTTGGTCCGGACACAGCCGAGCCCGGCGCTCAGCCGACAGCCCCCTCGGGTGCAGTCTATCGCTGTGAGCTCAGTGATACGGCCGTCGCTGATGACGTACTGTACAGACGGGCAGACAATTCGATAGTGAGCCCCGCACCGCCTCTGCCGACCCTTATCGTGCGAGTGTGCGTGATGGGGACTGTGCCGGTGCACCGGGAACTCATCGCATGATGGCTCAGGCCAGGTGCCGTGACAGAGATGTGGCTCAATTCGTGCCTGTTGAGTGTTGACACGCACTGCAGTGCAGTTTCATCACTCGACATGCGAATGAAAATGCTTACAAATACAAAGTTCTAGTTCCATAATCAATTCGTCATAAACTCCTTTACCACTGGGTGACAGTGCAGCAAACAGTTATAAATGTTCATGTTGTTGGTGAAGGAATGCGATGCCCCCACGTCTCGGCATAGTGTTGGTCGGTGTGATATTTTTCAATATACTTGTCCTACAGCCAATCATTTAGTTCGCCCGAGTTTACTGGTCCGGTATATTCTGGGTACTGTCATGTGTGAACTCAACGTCAGTTAGTCTGTTCAGCGTTCCACTGGGCAACCCAATTCAGTTCACTTTATTGTCGTCGTTGGCCTGACAGTGACGTCATTTTGCCCTGCCGGCGGGCGCGTCCGGACATACTTGGACTGAAAGGCATCTGATGGAGCCACGAAGTTCTTGAATTGCAATTATGGTAGAAGTTCATATGGACTTTCAGAATAGCCCGTCTGTGCCAAGTACATGCTAAGGCGTAAGTGTTGGGTGGTTGGAAGGCACTCCCCGCATACTATTAAAGGGACTGTCCCACCTTTGCATTAGTTCTGAGTTGAGATAGCCAAGTTGGCGGCCAGGTTCAGAAACCACTATATATCCTGGTCGCAATATCCTCAGTTTCGTGGTGTTAAAGAAATTCGTTCCCTTCATTTGAAAAGTGGGCCTTAGCTAAGGCCCTATCTCTTAACTATTAACGGCCATTTGATGACGTCGTTTGCATTTTGAACGCCTGTCACGCATGTGAAGTTTCACTTGATTTACGAATAAGCTAATCAGAGACACTTGTTATTGTATGAGCCGCGTCATATTTGAGAGCAAATACCTATATTTGCTGCCGAATTTCCCCCACATTGACATGAAGTAAAACCTTCATTACGTCACAGATCCGATCTAAATGACGTCACGATGAAATATAAAAGTCACAATATCTCAAAAAGTATACAATGAAAACGCGTAAAAACTTGCAGAATTCGTCACAATATCATGAGTAACATTTCCGAATCCTAAATGGTACTTTTTTGAATGTGGGATAGTCCCTTTAAATACCCGACATTCAACATCGCTTGACGACATTAAACGATAGCCACAGTTAAAGATAGCCGGCATTGCCTGTCACGGCATTGACAACAGGGATTGCGGAATCACTGTTGTCATTTATTCTGGGGTGTGTGTGTGTGTGTGGGGGGGGGGGGGGAGATATAGGAATATTCACAAACTTTGTCTTGGCTATAGGACTTGACCTAATAACATATACACCATTCGTTAGTTGTGGCAGCATTTTAGGTGAACTCTATATGCAATGTGTTCACGTGAAATGTTAGAAAGTTTGAAAATGTGATTTTTTTTCTGCCGATATTTGTGAGTTTCCCGTTGTGTCTGACAAAAGTTTTGTCTGGCTTATTTTGATAATGACCTGTGGTCGAAATCATCAATAATTATTTCATTATGTCATCATTTCACATTTGGTATTTCATTGTAAGGAGGCCATTTAAAAGTGTTTTTTCTCATAGAACTTATATCTATGCCTTACATATGATACAGCAAGTGCTACAACAAGATAGCCACAGTTGTTCTACTGTTAAGCCTAAAGGCGACGGTGTCGTGCAATGAATTGTCAAGTAAACGTCCTTGGGTGCGAACTTTGGTCCAATGCGCCTTGCCGTCACCGAATGTACATATTTAAAGCTCGCGCGAAGTTACTGGTCCCCATGTGTTGAAATAAGGTGTAAATATGATAGAATGATTGTCACACTTAATTTTTAGTTTTGTTTTGTGTTGTTCTCCAGTATTTTCAGCACACTCAACCGTACTTATTCACCTGCCGCACGTTTGCATAATTTTTCAAATTAATTTCTGTAAAATAAATCACAAAACTTTTTTCTCTTCATGATTGGTGCGTCACTGAAAGGATAACATCATCGTGGTATGCTTGCATATGTAACTAGCCTCCGGCATACCGTAGATTGCAAAATGTCCTATCCGTGTCTACTAACAAGCTCCCTAATCTCCCTCCCACCTGTGTCTGCCTACAGCCTCCGTAACCTCTCACATCACCCGTGTTCGACGACAAGCTCAATATGCCCCACGCCGCCGGTGTCCGAAGACAGGTTCCACAACGCCACAAACCACCGGTGTCTACCGACAATCTCTATAACCACCCACGCCACTCGTGTCCCACAGGTTCTATAATGTTCCACGTGCGCCGGCGCTCGGCCGACTACCAGCCGCGCAAGAGAAAGAAGAAACCGTCGACGCCAGCTAGTCTGTCAGAGGTGGACCACAGCTACCGCGGCCACGACGAGGCCAGCCTGCCGTTCCTGGTGGAGCTGAACGCGGACGGAACAGACATCCGGTACACGGCACCAAGGTTCGTACGGTGGGGCCGGGATGGGGGATGGGAGCGAGTCGTTTGGTGATGTGGGGACTAGTAAGGGACGGTGCACTGGAATGGTGGAGTTTTGCCAACCGAATTTAGTGATCTGTCTGATAATAACATTTATAGGTATAAAAGTAGGACTTCATGGATTATATTATGAAATTACATCAAATGAGGCATCACTTTTGGCCTTTTCTGCTTTCATTCTCTTTGAGTAAATTTTGTTATTTATGATTTGTTTGATGTGAGACGAGGAAGGGTTTCCTTTCCAGACCTTCGCCTCACTCACGTTACCATTGCATATTATGCTGTAGCTCCTTTCTGACGCCGCACTGCCCTCTCAGGCGGTTCAGCCTCCACCTGAACGTCACAGAGGTCGGCTCGGAGCGCTCCAGCCAGGCCGGCGGCCAGTGCCTCCAGCTGGCGGGCCACAACGTGCACCCGCGCCACTGCGTCATCGCCCACACGGAGGGTATAGTGACGGTGACTCCGTGTGGACGGGAGGCCGAGACGTACGTCAACGGACAGCGGGTATACGAGACTACCATACTACAGGTACGGGGAGAGAGAGAGAGAGAGAGAGAGAGAGAGAGAGAGAGAGAGAGAGAGAGAGAGAGAGAGAGAGAGAGAGGGGGGGGGGGGAGCACGGCAGAACGTCATTACGTCATGTGAAGAGGAACGCATTGCGTTCTCGACAAAATTGTAATATTCGAATATTGTCACGAAGAGGATATGTTGCGTTAAAAATGCATAAAAGGTGATTGACTTGAAAAGCTGGTAATTAAGGCGCTTACTGCTTACATAGTATGCATACTGCATAATGCAATATGCTGTTGTAGGCTGTTAGCATGCCAGCACTGATGAGCTGCTGCTCCAGTCTCGAGCGTCGACGAGTCTCCGTGCCGTTCAGTGTGGCACCAGCTGTAGGCTGGTGCGGTTCTGAGGCATAAATGCGGCGTAGAGCGATAATGAAGGCAGGCATTGCGTCAGAGGGATGACGACCAATTATTGACATGAACATTTATAGACACAGTCGTGACAGTCTCCCCGTAACTAATCCGGAGTTCGGCTTTTAATGATGTGTAGCGGTGATCTTGATGTATTTTTGTCTTCATATTTGCCGTCTTGTTGCTATTTTGTTTATATACTCCTGGGAAATAATGAATGTCTCGTTCGTCTTTGCCTAGCAGTCCAAGAATATTGCTCTTTATTGGAGAGAAACTCGTTCTGGTGCGTATAACAGAAATATATTTTAGTTTATCCCTAGAGATGAGCGAAGAAGTGTTCACGGTATGGCATAAATCAGCGTATGAGGCTCCTTGTTACACAAAGCTTCATACTTGAATTATATACTTGGAGCTAACTTCGTTCGCCAAGCCGTCGAGCCGTGTGGACTAGCCAAGCTCCAAATGGATGCCGAAGTTATTTTAGTAATGTGATCTGTTGGATGACAGGACATTGATTTGGTATCCGCTATCTACTCAGTGACAAGCGGCACTGGCTTCTGTCCGATTATGTGTGCGTCCGGCCTCTCCACTGTTTTTTTCGGAGTATATTCGCTCTCAACGCTCATTTACTGCTGAAAAGTGCGTTTTTATTGCCCAACCGATAGGAAGTGCGTCTTTATTGCTATTGGCATTGTCACTGATGTTCCGGGACACCCCAGAGTATGTATGCCGATATTGATTTGGACATTCTATGGTATCACCACCATGCCTTTGCAAATATCCGTACCCTGCGGCATTGCTGCAGTGCTTTGTCTCCTTAGGTCGATAAGTGCAGGCTGTCCGGATAAATGTCGTGATTGCTTCTCATGAGTCCTATTCGGTTCTTAGAGCTGATCGGCTGTCGTTGGCTGCTTCCTGTTTCTGTGATGTTTTTCTCAGACCACTTTGTGTCTTATTGGTTCGACAGCCCACGCACCGTTCGGTGTAGGCTCTAAGAGTGGCTGCGCCGCCGGGATCACTTTCTGAACGTCGCCGATGGGTAGCTCTAAGTTGCTTATTGATGACCATAAATTGTTCTTTACTTACAATGTATGTACAGTAACTGGATGTTGTACGCTCCTCCTGTAGCGTCCAACATTCGTTGCATTTTGGATCGAAATTCACAAGACATTGACCAGCATGACTTATCATCACGTAGCCAGTTTCCCATCCCAAAACTTCGATTGGCTTGGCTGCAGCCATTGCGTTCCGCCCCTGCCTCGCGCCAGTTCAGGCGACTGTCCCTTCTGACTCACATTGCGTCGTGACCTCTGGCGTCTTCATCGGCCGACTAACGGGCTCCGCCTTCCGAATCACGACCCAACTTGGGCCGCTCCGAGGCCAGCAGTGGCGCCCGCGCTCCCCTCCGACGGGGTCGCCGGCCAAACCTGTCCAAACTCGGGTGATCGGTGAGACTTAGGCCGGACAAGATGCCGCCTGATGGTCTCTGAGTCTGCAGTTTGAAAAGAGTTCAATTTCAGACGGCGGGATTTTGGTTCCTAATGGTCAGAGGCACTGGCGCGTTGGGAATGACTGATTGGTATGTGGTATCGAATCTGGTTTCTCTGCTATGCCGCACATGTGTTAATTATGGGCCGGAGATATGTATACCATATCCACTGATGCCCATGGGAGAACTGGTATCCCAGCCCTGGACTTTCACGCCCTGCAAGATGCTTGAGCTCCCGACCCTTCCTATCTGTCCTGTTCGACTCCCGTATACGAGTGCCGTAGTTCCGTAGTTCTCGTAGTTCCTCGACTCACGTATGTCACGTTTACGTGACAACCACGAAAATCGATACTGCCTAAAATGTAAGTGCTAATTTTCTTCATGACTTTAAAATCACGAAGGATGGAAGTGGTGATCTCACCATGGTTTTCTTTCTCAATGTATGGTTTTCTTACATGCTCGCTCAGCGTCTTTCGCTTGGGTTAATTACCTATTATGAATATGGAATATTCAACACAACTCAGATCCAATGACAAATGACAAAATACCAAATCAAACAACCTAGATTGTGCGCAATATTCACAAAATTACTCCACCCGAGCACTGTTCACGGTTCAGTAGCCCGGTGTCCGTCATGCTCATGCTCATGGCCCAGTCGCAGTGTGCAGCGGCTCACTGTCTGTGCCGGCCGGAACACACCCCTCCTCGGCACTGGCCAGTCGCCTAATGCTGCCGAACCCAATTGTCGTCCTACGGGTGGTCTCGGAGGATCCCCCGGGGCACTTTTGTGGAAAGGTTGGTAGCGATCCTCATCCAGAGGGACCGGGGATACTGTTCTGTCGCTGTGGTGTGTGGGCGTGTACGGCGAAGCGGAGAGTGGTCGTGGCTCTGGTGAGAGTCCTGTCCAGCGGGTGGCTAACATAGGCACCAGACATGTGCATGGATCCCAGAAAATGGATCTGGGATCTGATCCAAAGTATCCTGATCTCGGATCCCACGGGATCATAGATCCAGCTCTCTAATTTATCGAGAGATCCATAGGGATCACAGATCCGAGTCTCATTTTTTGCTTGAGATCCAGGGAAATCATATGTAGATCCTCACTTATGTGTTGTCAACACAGAAATCCCCCAAACCATTTGTTGCAACTCATAAACGTTCTGTTTTAGTGATTTTATGTGATTGCACGTCATAATCCATAGTTTTGTAGCACTTTTTGACATAGAAACCCTTTTAAAAATGGTTTCAAATGTTGTGCATGGTGGAATCCACTCAGATCATAGATCCATGCTCTTGGTTTATCGTCAGATCGTATGAGATCATAGATGCAAGATAATTTTTTTCACGCCGGATCCATGGGATCATAGACCCTAACCTGCAGTTTGCTTCGAGATCCACTGGGATTATAGATCCATCGCTCGGATCCATGCACATGTCTGATATCCATGCACATGGCTGGCTGGAAGGAACAAGTGGAATGAGACGGAAAGAAACCAATGGTATAGAACAAAAAGAGCAAGCATATGAAGAGCGGATGAAAGATAGGCTGATATGGTGGCCAGAGGTGTCGTGTGAGGCTGACAGCCGACAGGCGATACGATTCAACGACTCTGTATGTCAGATGCCCACCTGCCGCGCTCAGCTGTTTAACAGAATCCCATGAGCTACGATCGGCGCCAGTACGGGTGTGCCGTGTTCAATAATACAGCTCTGTTGATGTAATGGTAATCGCTGTGCGCGACTGTACGCTCATGTAAATGAGTCTTTGAGAGGTTCAATGCATTAGTTACGATCGCGCTGGGGAGCGTTGCCGGTCTGTTGTGGGCTAAAGCTCTCCAAATATAGTCCACCAATCGATGGACTGTTACCTGTTGCACGATAAGCCCGGTCCGTAGGGTGAGGAGCGTCACGGTACGGCCGCTTCACCAGCTGTCAGCTGTCATTTGTCAGCTGCTGTCAGTGACGTAACTGTCATCTGTAGTCCATTACTGACATACGGTAGCGTTTCTCTTGACGTCACATGCAGTGGTTCCGTCTGTCTGCGTTCCGTCTGCCCTTCCTCTGCCACTCCCGCTCCCGCCGCCGCGGCCCTCTTTCCCGGTACGATGAGCGATGAGGAATCGCGTCCGCAATCTAGGCGGGGACGGCTCCCCAGACGAGAGACACTCGACGCATCGATTGGCGCGCCCGAGCGGTCGGGACGGTCGGGCGGGTCGGGCTGGTTGTATCCAGCTGTATCCAGCGCCGTTGCTGACAGAGACAGCAAGTGCTCTCATAATGGTGAAGGGACAGGAAGGTGGGTAAAGTCAGACATGGCAATGCGAGGTTACAGCGTATTGGCGTCGGTGGAATGGAGATTTGGAAAACTCTGGGACGAGTCTGTCGGCGTGAAAAGTCACCGAGCAGTTGGATCGGTCCCGTGAGTCCCCGCTGCTGTGGGAGCGAGACTGGTGGCGTCATCGCTGTCTGTTGTGCGAGGTGAATTGATGAGGCATGTTTAGGCATGTACCGCGACCTCGTACTCCAATTGGTTACTGATATGCGATGTGATATACCTGCGTCTCGTGATGGTGTTTTGATAATTGATGATATCAAAGAACTCCAACGTTTTTCATCAGGGCTGTGATGGTTCAGAGCGTGCTGTGTGATGTCCCTCCACCAAGCTGTTCCCCGATATATCGCCTGATGCGCAGACTGGTTACGCTTCTGTCTGAGCTGATGTCTGACCGCCACTCTCTGTTTCCAGCACGGCTCCGTGGTCCAGTTCGGTCGCGTGTACAAGTTCCGCTTCCTCGACCCCAACCAAGAGGAGCGACTTCGCGGAGGTCGACGCGACAGTCTTCGCGGACACGAGTCCTACATGGAGAGGTGAGCTGGCCACTTGACACCGAGGCTAAGACGAACGTAATACTGACGCTTAGGTGGTCCGAGCTCCTCAATATCGGCTCGGAAAGCTGATCCGGATCTAGCGAGACTTTTCAGGCACTTGTGCAGGGCTCTCTGCCTTGCTGCCGGTCTCCGAGCAGCCAGAATCGCATACAGTGCGCTGAGGCGGCTGAATTTCTGTAGACGGGGCACGCTCAGCAGAATTTCCGTCTGCCCTGTCGCTGTTGCCGGCCAGTATTGATCAGGCACAAAACACAGCGGGATGAGGAGGCCGGACCAGGTCACGAGCTGCCCAAGCCGGGGGACCCCGTCATCGACTGGACGCGTGTGGTGGCCGATGTCTTCTCCCGGCGGCCGGGATGAGGTTTGGATTGTTACTGCTGCCCGGGGCCCAGTGTGGGCGGCTGAATGGCGTCCTGGTGGCGGTATAGACAGCTGTGGCCTGTGTTCTTGGAGCGAGTCTGTTGTCAGTTGGGATAATGACGACTGGGTGACGACTGCTCACTGGAATTGCTGTTACTGAGTTGGACAGCTGATGTTCTTCTTCTGGAAATTAGCCCGGTTTGAAAATGTGCTCGGCAGCTTTTTAAGACAAATAATGCTTGTTTTTTATATTTTCATTATTAACACTATTTTCTAAGTAGCGCACTTTTTCTGAGAAGGTGCCGTATTCAACATTTCACAATGCGTCTGTCTTTTCACTTCTATCCTCCACTTTAGTGGATTAGCATAACAATGAATATCACCTCAGGCGAATAGCGCACGCTCGCTGCGGAGGCGTCTTTCCAGCATGGTCGTTTCGTAATGAGCGCTGCGTGCCAGCCGCACGTCCAGCAAAGGACCATTAGTTATGTGCTAACAGGCGGCCGCACACTGGGCCATTCGGCGGGCGAGATTCCGCAAAGCGGAATTCCGTAGGCGACATTACGCCTCCGCGGACGCCGAACCAACCGCCGAAACGAAAAATGTGGCTGTGAAGGGTCGGCAGCCAGCTGTTCACGGACAGAGTGCGCATGCGCGCGGACAGCCGCGGAATCGCGGAAAAAGCTGAACCGGTTCAGCTTTTTCCGCGACTTCACCGCGGAAAGCCGATATTGTGGAACTTGATACTCACTAACTATTGATGGTGTGGCCGAGAAATAGACTTAATTTGATAAGAAAGCCGTAATGTTATTTCTTTCCTCGCAATAAATGGCTCTATGCATTAAACTGGCTATTCAAAAAGTAGGTTGCTATGTGCCTCTCCACAATTGTCTTTAGGTTTCTTGCATTTGTCGACAAACACGGTTGTTTACATTAATCACGAGCTTTATTTTTTGGCAACTTCCTCCAGAAATTATGTCAAATTAATAGACATTCAAAACTTTATTGTACAGAAATATAGCATAATCGCATTAAATAAGCAAATATTGTATTTGCTTAAATGTATTTAGTTTGCATTCGTTTATATTTATCATAAAATATTTCACATAAAGTTCCTGAAAATACTAAGTAGCAAATCGCACCGCCGAATAGTCCCGTAAACTGCTGAAAACAAGCGGAAAGCCGCTGTAGGAATGTCGCCCGCGACATTCCGCTTTTGCGGAATCTCGCCCGCCGAATGGCCCAGTGTGCGGCCGCCTTAACAGCCTAATACCGAACCGGTTAGCCAAGTGCAATACGTCGTATACTGAAATACGCGTGCGTTAGTCCGGATGTTCTGTCCATCACCAAGAACATCATCATATGTATCAGCTCGCGACCTTGATGCAGTATTGATTCCCGATGGACCAGCACCGGCAGTCGCTAAGCACAATTCAGAAGATGGAGAATGGTTTGGGAGAGGAGGGGGATGAACGGCATACTGGTGTTCTGCCTGATCACAAGACGGTCGAGACGCTGACATGGGACGTTTATCGCCAACTGATGCGGCGTGCAGTTGCGTTGGCCTTGGAGTGATGGATTTTCGACAGCACTATCCAGTCTCAGTCCTGGATGTGGGAGGACGGTGACTGAGAGGGCTAGACAGTATACGCAGGAGCAGCGCCGCCTCTGGGCTTGTCTCTGACGTCGCTGATAAATGATTAAACGTCGGACCCCGAATGAGATTGTTGCGTGCTCACTGCTCAGACAACCATCTGTCTGAACATCTGAGAGCTCCCACTGCACGCCAAGATAAAAGGACAATGTAATTTTCCGTTGTCATTACAAAACCATGATGACGTACTTTGATCCTGCATCTTATTTTCCGGGTCGGCTCATTTGCTTAATTCGCTTACAAGTAGGGATACAGATACATTGTTGAATGTGTGTCCACACACAAATTTCCGGAGTTGTTCGTGTTTAATATCACATACAATCTGAACATAGCTTTTCCAGCTGAGATGTGATTCTTGGATATTTTTCTGACGCATCTTAAATGTTTTCTTCAAATGAACGCCCTTGTAAGACTGGCTTTGATGACACACGCTAAGGTTCTATTTAGTTTCCTCAGGGCAGTCTCGCTCCGTCCAATATCGTGGCAAGTTCAAAGAATGCTGTTAATATGCTACCGTCCCGTCGTTCTTCGTGCTGTGTGGGCGTGGGATACGGTATTATTGGATCAGGATAAGCGGAGGGAGCCCTCTACGTCAGAGCTTGTCGACCTATTGCCTGGTCTTGGCCTGGTCGAATATGTATGACGGCTCTCGGGATTCTATTTTCTCACAGCAAATGCCATTTTCGCAAACATCAACATTGCGGGAGTGTCTGTAATCTGTATCTTCAGCACTACATAGATGCGCCTAATTACAGAATTTATACGTGCATTGCATCCTATCACCGCACATAATGGTCCGTCGCTATCTCTGTCTAGGGTCCACCCATCACAATTCCAAGCCACTGTGCTCTCCTAGCTGATACCCACGCGGTATCTACTTGACTGGTTCCCTACCAACCCTACACAGCGTATGCGGAAACCACAGCTCCCCTGCAACCGTGTTTCCGTCTCCTCCGACACTGATCGTTTCGACCGGCACTGATCGTCTCCTCCCGCGCTGATCGTATCCTCCACTGGCGTCTGTGCGTTCGACGGCTGACCTTTGCCCCGCTCCGTCGCCGCCGTCGCTGCCGGCGCCGCTAACCTGGCGGGGACGTCGCTGCCGACAACACAGCGGCTGGGAGGGGGGGGGGGGGGAGCGGGGCGGCCGGATATCACGGGCAGTGCCGGCGGCGGCGGCGGCGCCGGTGCACAGTAGGCGATTTCGCTATCCTAGCACTTCATGAGCTATATCTTAAGTTAGACTCAAAACCAGTCATCCTTAAACCCCTTATTTTGTGCCTAGTTTCAGTGCGCTTCAACTGATATAATTGTTTGCATCAGAAGTAATCAGGTTTTCTTTGCAACGTGCAAGAGAGCGAGCAATGCCTTTTCCCCATAGGCTTAACACAGGACAGAAGAGGCTTAACAAAAACATATACAGTGTTGTCTGTGTTATGACTTACTTCTCAACTAGTCAGTTACGGATGAACCACTTGATCGCAAACCACGGGTGCTGGTTTTGCAAAGAAAACATTGTTGCAAACATAGAGATCTCTGTGGTTGCAAAGGCGCTTTCAGACTGGTCTGTTTGGGGGAAAATAGTACCAACAGACTACCACATTTCAGGAGATCGCAAGTTATCGTGTTTTAGGAAGAAGGTAATTATCGGTGAAATAGAAATGGTTTAGCGCTGAAATTGCATGTAAGCAAAGCTAAGATGCAATTGCAAAGCAAAAAAGAGGAGACCATGACTTGCGAAAAATTGTGGTTGTTTGAACGTTCCGATCACATGTTCTACAAATAAATAGCTTTAGCTAGTGCCTAGTATCGTGTCTACCTACAACGTAAGTGTAACGCTTATGTTTGGTGGTTGGGATTCAAAGTTGCGAAATGAATGTACGCTAACGGAGTTAAAGGAAGGAGTAGGAATTTCGTTTTCCGTTTGGCCTCTAAATGAGTTAGAACTTCGGTGCCACGTGGGCATGCTGCTCTCCCCGAACGGAAGCCATTTCTACCTACCCGATTGTAAGTTTTTTAGGTCAGAGTTCCCAGGTCACGAAAATGGTCGAAGGAGGTCAAATTGCATACCATTTGATTCGGCAGATCTTCCTGAGTTCATTAGTGGCTTGCCTGAATCGCTAGCTCAATTTGTTGGGAAGTTATGGACCAAAAACTAATGACCAGATCATAGTGACGTCATAAATGACGTCACGCAAGTTCAACAATGCAAAAGTAAAGCATCGGACCTTGCAACAGTAAAGCTTGAACTAGTTTGATATCGTTCCCGGCGCCAAAATAGCAGCGTTCATTTTACAACATTGACTCACAATGGTGAGGTCATGTGATCGACCCCCTCATGTGACCTTTAGGGAAAATCCGAGACATACAAACTGTGAATCCTCTGGAGGATACTAGGTTCTGTAAGTTTCATCTCCATGTGAAAGCTGCTCTGGCATTGAGGGCTTTGCGAAATTGCGACATCTGAGGATCGTGCAGAGGTTCACTTATGACGTCATTGGTCCATGAACTGACCTGACCTAAAAATGTAGTTGGTGTCACAAGATTCGACTTGAATCAAAGGTCAGGTATGCCAAGTTTCAGCTTTCTATCGCTGGTGAGTTCGGAGCTGTCGCGAACAGAATCTTCGGTTGGGCGGCGGTACTTCGCTCTCCCCTCGGCCCTGCCCCCACCTTATACGGTAAGGGTTGAGCAAAACGCCCATAACTCCGTGAATCGCAAAAAGTCGCAGACAATTTTAACAGGGTATTGAGAACAAACATTAGGCTACTAAGTAATGGTGTTTTTGTGGCCGAATCTCGCGGACAGTAAAACATGCGCATTGCCAAACGTTGTACACAGTCTTGAACTGATGCAGTCAAAAAGGTGTAATGCAAAATATTATAAAAAATATAGAGAAGCTTCAAAAGTTGAAAGTATGGCATGCATATTACTTCGCAAGGAATGAGGTTTCAATCAAAATTAGAGTTTTCAATATATTCAACTTTTGTCTTGATTTACAGCTCTAAATATAACTAGGATCAAATCACGACCAGGCACCAGTGCTCAGCCTCTCCAAAAAAGGTCGTGTTTGGACGTGTGTGGTTTGAAAGTGTTTGGCTTGATGTTACAAATAGTGTCACATTTCGGGTGCTGGGATATTTAGCTACAAAATACGCCAGTATTTATTCATATTTGCCATCATTTTTTTCGGGCCCCTGAAGCGCTAGAATGCATGGATCGCCTACAGTGCGGTGCCGAGATTTATTGAAATGGCCGACCTACCCCGGGAACTGACTCCATGGCACTGTGACTACGGCGGCTGAGCCGTGCAGACTGACTGTGAGACCGCTGGGCTGTGTCCAGGAATGTTGTTGGGCTGCAGCAATGGTCAGCGTCTGGGTTTGGTGTTCGTTCTTTCGCTCTTCTTGCGAAGATGCCTGAGAACATTCGACGCTCATCATGAATATTGTGACAGATAGTTCATGCTTACCTTTGTTCTCGTTCCATATTATTATGGGAGATAGCTGTGGCGCATTATTCCTCGGGCTAGCACTGGAATGCCTTACGGAATGCCCACGTCTCAATATGATGCTTCCATTATTTCCGCTTTTCCGCACCTGGCTTCGCCCCTTCATCGTATATATTGCATTCCTGTGAAGCTGTACAGTACGCTGATCATAGAAACCAATGTGTCATATGCGTGCTTTAGTAAACCCCTGAACGGCGAGGGGTCCGCTTCGGCAACGGGAAAGCTGGTCGCTCGACCCGGAATAGAACTTTGTCCCATTGTGTGGTGGTCGCCGGCTTGTTATCGGACGGTGTCTGACGATCTCCGGTCGTCCTGTTAGGCTCCCCACCGGTGTTCGATTCTCCATGGGACAGCCGCCGTTGACTCCTTGAAGCGTTCATTTCCGCTGCATCGAAAGGCTGAGCGTCGCCTGACGGCTATTTAACTCTGGGGAACGCTGGCGGGCGGCGCCAACGACTCGCGTCGAGCGGACGTCGGCGGAAATGGCGATATATGCGCTGTTTGGAGGGTTATGGGATGGGCTAGGCGACTGTTGCATTGCGAATGTGTGCTATTTGTTGTCTAGGGATGTCTTAAATTGTACCGGTGGCTGCACACTGCTGACTGCACAGTGCACAGTGCTCAGCAATTGTCATGATGCTTAGCGACATGTTGTAAGTGTTCTGTTCTTTCGCAACTGCCCATCAAAATACCAACTGCACTGACATTGGGAAGCAACTGATCGCTTATAAGTAATGCTAAGCTATATCCCTGCTGTGCCATCAGGTCGACCACATACGCCAGTTACGGACGGGGCAGCGACGCCATTCTACCGGCCGTGCTCGAGTTTAGGGAAGAGACGGAGGACGCGTTCCTGCGAGCCGTCATCTCCCAGCTGGACCCGAGCAGCCTGCAGTTCAAACTGGCGCCCACCTATACGCTCTACATGTCTGCGAGGTGAGTTCTCCAGCCTCCTGATAGTTTGACAGTGGCCAGGTCAAAGTGCCGTCCAAAAATTGGCGTACACTGTAAGACGATCAATAAATGTTGAAACATCAGTACTATCCTAAAAAGTTTTTCCATTTATCCATAAATCATTTTGCAATTTGCCGGCGAGAATACTCAAAGCGCTTTCGTGGATATGTCAGTGTTAAATGTTCCGCCTTTCGGCGTTCGGTCTTCTGATATGACCCATATGCTCTGTGGAACAAGCACATATAAAGCTTATTGCAGCTCTCTGCGATGCATTGCCAAGGTAGTCTGGTTGAGTGTAAACAGTCTGAAAAGATGTATCTCGACACAACTCCGTTGTTATGGCTATGTTGACGCGACAAAGTAAGCTGTCACAGTCTTGAGTGAGAGCACTTGCCAACAAATGGAACCGATTCAGCCACTGATGCGACAGCAGTGACAACACCATCAGTTGCCGATCGGAGCGAACCGCTTCCTGGCGTGTGGCGATACGTTGTCATTTCCACAGACGTCTAGACGTCCGAGAGTGGGTTGTTTGTGGGTTGTCAGACGGCCGCTTAGATCGCCACTTCTGTTCTGTCAGTGGGTGCCTCTTTTCCCCTGAATGGCGCACCGGTCGCGAGATTGGAGTCTTGGTTCTTGGTAAGACAGACGACATGCAACCGGCAGCGTTGTAACAGAATTATCAAAGATGTTCCAGGGAAGTAGTGTTATAGCTCTTACGGCTGATATTGAGAAGGAGAAACACCGACAAAAAATAGTGACCATCTTCTTCTTGTTTAGAATTGCTGACACGCACGTCCGTTTCTTTGAAGGATAAACAACAAAACCGTTGGCATCACAGTCGTTTCCTCTCGCGCCGCTCTAGGACACTGGAGTTTTCGTTTCGCCACTGGACATTGGCTGACGCTGCGCTGCTAAAACTCCTGCCATGTCCAGCGATGCTATCTCGCCGGCGAAGTGCCATCGTGCCCTCTCCTGGCCGGACGGACCCGTATTAACTTTGTCGACGAACGCTATAAAACGTCGCCTCCGCGAAATTAAATCGCACTTCAAGTCGGCACTTTCAGGAGGCCCGCCGTCTATGAGGTGCTCGACGTCAGCGGCTTTAGAGGTGACGTTAGAATGAAGCGTCCAGTACTCTTTCATCAAAGGTCGACTTTTTATAGCGAAGATGGATAAGAGGTGTCAGACCGGACACGGGTTACGAGGCTGGAGATAGGTCGCAAGGCTGCACACGGGTCACAATTTTGCCTTTCAAGAGGAACCGATAATTCAAGGTATTGCGTACATTCGCTTGAAGGTCAGCTCATTGACGGCATCTCGTTAGGTAACTGAAATGATGAAATATTCAATTGGACACAGCCCAATCACATTGCGCAACGCTCGAGGAATTTAGAATGCAGCTATTTTGTAGCACATGGTATTTTCGCACAGTTCTCCAGGAATGAGGGCCGTTTTATGGGATGATGAATATAATATCTGCAGCATTTTAGTTTTAACTCGTGGAAGTTGGCGTGTTTTGAGGTATTGAATGACGGTACCAGTTTTCAGCATCGTTTGTAATTATCGCCCCGGTGTTTACCGTATTGGCTGCATGTTGACAGTTTCGTTTAGTTACGACCAGCCCGGCGGCCGTTTGGTGCAATATGAGCGCTCCACTTCATTATTCCCCCGGCGCCAGTGCCGTCGCAGCCGGTCCCCGCCGTCAATTTACCTGATTGTCCCGGCGCACTGTTATTTGCAGAGTCGCCGAATGACCGTGCCATTGCGGCGGCATTTCTGGCGGTGCTGGTTGGCCGGACATTTCATTTGGGCCGGGCGCGGAATGGAGGCGGTATCGGGATGATCGCGTCGCTTTCATTTCCGCCACGGGATGGTCGTTTATCATCGCACTCATGAAGCGCGCGGTCGAGCTGTCAGCCGAGATGGTGCCACATATTTTCTTGTGTGGATCCTCTATATAAAGTCTTATATTTTCACCAAGACAGCTATCATGTTTCTATTCAACGCCAGATTCGACTATTAAAGTACTGTTTTCATATAGTAGCCATTCGCCTTACTTTCGGCTTATCGTTCACTGTGATCCATGATGTTTGTGTGCGTCTCCCTGGGGCCCTATTCTATGAACGAGTGGATTGTTTTTTATGCTGACTGCTATTAGCGCTGTCGGCTTCCGTATAGTGACAATGCTAAAGGCAAACAAAGGTGGTGTCAATAAAGATGTATTTTCCCGTATTTAACCTCGTGAACATCGTACTGCTGGTATTGGCATGCGCTAGATCATGGAATCAAGCTCACCTTATGATGACAGCGCTTGTGAAGCATGCTGGAAGTCCCGAGGACTTAGGTCATGAGGGCGTAGCTCATAACTTAGTTATGTCACATCCTACACGATCATGAAGTTTTGTGTTACGAATGTGTAGGTTTGCATAAAGCATTTTGAAGACGACCACCTCTCACTAATTCGTCATTGATCGTATAGCTATTATCTGACCTGTCTGGAACTTTTGTAGGTGTACCGTGCGCGCATATACACGCGGCGTCTGCCTGACCTCTCCGCCCTGTCCTTCAGGTTCCGCGCCAGCACGCACTACCGGAGCGAGCTGACACCCGACGAGCGGGCCACCAAGCTGACCGAGGTGCTGGCCAAGGTGTCGGCCATGGTGCAGGACGTCATACAGGTGGGTCTACGTAGCAGTCATGCATATCACTGCAGTGCTGGCGGGTGGGTGCTGTCACCGTGTGATATGTGACCTAGCTGTGGCAGTGATCCGAACAGACTAGATCCACTCCTCTCGTCTCGTCTCCTCTCTTTCTGACCCCCGTCATCTCATCTCCTATGCACTCCTCTCCTCACATCGTTCTCTCACTGTTTTCTCTTTTTTCCCACTTTGACTATCTAACCGAAGTGTTCCCTTCTACTAGTACCATTAAAATGGCGGTAGTAATGCACGGTGCAGCCTCTTTACCCAACACCGGCGTTCTTTACCAAATACCGCCATGTCTTCACCTGGGTGTCTCCTCTGCTACCCTGTCTCCGTTCCGCACTCCAGGCACTGGCTGTCTCCATCAATTCCGTCCTCTCAGACCGCTCTCCCCCGGCCAGCTATCCCGGCCAGCTCCGGCTACCATCCCAGCTAGCCCCGGTCGCCAGCTCAATCCCTGCGCCTGACTGAGCCGCGCCAGTCGCCAGCCGGTCCGTCGCCCGGCACGGCGCACGGCTCCATCACCGAGACCCTTAGCGGGACAAAAACGCTGTGTGCAAGTGTCTGTGTCCGGCTAGCGGCAGGTAATCAATCCGCGCTCTCTCGGTTTTTGTCAAGAGGAGATGTTTCGACAGGTTTGCAATGTGCGTTGAAGGTAAATTGATTGAATGTGATGCAAGGTAAGATTCCTGGTCGTTTTTCACATTGTCTTGAAGTACGTATGCCCACTGCCCAGTCGATGTTCCACAGGTCGTAATTGCTAACCTTACCATAGGTGGATCAAATTATTCAGACTGCTTCTAACCCTACCATTAGTTGGGGCTCGTTAGTCAAGCTAGTCAGTGAAATGTTTTGTTAACTGTAAACAGCTGACGTGCCCCCCCCCCCCTTCTTCAGACGCGGAGACACGACGCCAACTCGCTGGCGTTCTGGATGGCGAACGCTTCCGAGTACCTGCACTTTTTGAAACAGGACCGGCACATCAGTCCGTACAGCGTGCTGGCGCAGGATATCCTGGCGGAGAGTGTCCAGACCGCCTTCAGGTGAGTCAGTGGCGACCCGGGCAGAGATTGTCCAGACCGCCTTCAGGCCAGTTAAGTGGCGGCCCGGCGGACAGGAGGAGGCTGTTTCGTGTTGTGATGTGATGAAAGAGCCCTAGCTGTTTGAGTAAGTGGTGAGATGGGTTCAGCGGTAGTTGATCTTGTTCGTGGGGTATTCAAGTGAATTGCTGTTTGTTGAATGCATTTCAGAAGCTTGGCACCTTATCTGTTGTTGCACCTTGTTGGAGTTTGAATCATCTTACCCTGCTTTGTGATAACGGTTGCGGTAGCCCAATCCTCCGGCTGGACAGTTATATTATTTGCCTTTATTTTGTACGTCTGCTTGCTATTTGATGTACACTTACAGTCAAAACGATGTGATGTATTTTACCACAAGGTACATTTCGATGACACATTAGACACTACCACTCATATTCCGTCAGTGCTTTGGTTTTGCACCAAATATTTCGCCCCATGGAACCTCGAAGTCGCTTGGGGCTAGCTTTCTCCCATTCTCGATGAGCTGGCCAAACACGCTGGATTTTGATGAAGAAGCCGGTGGAGCTACTTCGGCGTCTACGGCTGAGTCAGACTCTTCTGCCTGGCCAGACGTCCGTCCTGCGACGCACCCAACGTGATGGGGACCAGCGTCAGGAGGGGCTGTGGCGAGGATAGCGGCGGAGTTTCCCCGGATGATCGCTATCGAGACTCTTTGTAGAAGCCAGGACACTTCTCTGGGGTCCTTTGTCGCCGCAGAAATCCGACCTCCGATATCCCGGAGCAGCTTTGACCCTGCTTCTCCGACTACGCCGGTAGTCTCTACTGCTACTGGAGTGAAGATGTAGCGGTCTGCGAGACTGGCGTAGCGCATGCGCTTCAGGTTCTCGGCGACGGCTGCAGCTGCGCCAGGATCCACTGCACACTTCACCACGTGTGACTCAGCAAACGTGTCAACGCACGTGGCGTCCCATGTGAGGCTTCGACCGGCACTGAAGGGGAACGTTGTCAGCCCGTCGGGGCGCCTTCCATCTCCTCTGTCTAGCCCCACAGGTTCTAAGATCGATGGTACGCCCGCACTCGCCAGTGCTCGTTTAATGACGTCATTTAGGGCTGCGTGCCGTGGGAAGCGACCGGCGCTCTTCTTGCATGATAGGCCGTGGTGTCCCAGCCTGTCCACAGAGCATCCACATAGCTTGCATTGGTGGGGCTCACAGATGGGCAGGCCTAGTCGAAGGGCTACCGCTATACGAATGGTCTCATCATCAATGTACAGTCCCAGGCTGGGGATTGGAGGTGCTTGCAGCCAGGCTGCAGTATGCGGCATACAAGCAGCACCGAGACGAGCGCGATGTATCTGATTGGCTCCGGCGATCAGGCGGTTAGCGGTGACAATTGACGCGATGTCGTCCCAGGTCTTTTGGAGGCTGGCCGCCGGGCGTTCTGGAACAGTCTCGATGCCAGTTGCAGCCATGAACTGCTCCGTGACTGGTTGCAGTGCCGCTGGCTCAGGGCCCGTGAAGGTTGAAGGGCAGATAGATAAGACCAGCGGTGCTGCAGCGGTGAGAGACGACATGGTTGGCGCCACCCAGCAATCGTGCTCTAAATGAACTATTTATTAGCACCGTCAGCAGATAACCTCTCTCTACGGCCCACGTAGCAATTCGTGCATGTCCTCAGCGGCATGCCTTGCAATACGATCTCGCGCCCACTCGTCTGGAGTATTGGCACGTATCGATCGGAGCACACCAGCGGCCTCCCGGCCCAGGTGTCTTGGTCTGACGGTGTCTTTGCCTGATGCTATAAGCGGACGGTAGACCGGCGCTTTTCCTGTGAGACACAGCCTTTGAGCACGTCCCCAGAATTGCGGCGCTATCAGCGAACAGACGAGCCGCGCTGATCGTCATTTAGCGTCCCTTTCATGTTGCCTGCCCGAGCTCGTATGGTGTCTGATGGGGTAGGGTCTGGCTGGGTTTGACGCGGGGTGAATGCGAATGCTCAGTCTAAGCTGCTCTGTTGCTGGGTTTGTGGTAATGTGTTTGAGTCGGACTGAGTTTGATACATTCCCACGGTCAAGCTGTTCTGTCGAGAACCCGGTGTGTCTGGGCTGGGTTTGACGTGGCTGTTGTCCCTCTCTTGCCACTGCTAGGTTGGTACCTTGGGAATTTTATTGTATCGGACTGAATTTGACATGGAGTTTCACGGTTGCGTTGTTCTGTTGTCGGAACCCGGTGTCCTTCGACTGCGTTTGACATGTCTGATGGCCCTCCCAGTCGCCAGGTATTTGATGGAGTGTGCCTGCCCCGAACTGTAGTTGACACAGTTTCTCTGTTGCTGGGTTCGACGTGGGGTCTCGCGGGCTGCTGCTGCTGTGACACCGTGTACTCGGCTGGGTTTGACGTGGACGGCGTCCTTTGTCGCCAGGTACCTGATGTAGTGTGTCTGTGCCGAACTGTATTTGACGCAGTTTCTCTCCTGCTGGGTACCAGGCTGGGTTTGACGTGAAGTTTCTTGGGCGGGTGCTACTCTGTTACCGCTCACTCGGCTGGTTTTGACATAGCCTGCGCCTCTCTATTTCCAGGTATCTCGTGGAGTGTGTGCAGGGCGAGCTGGTCAACTCGATCAGCCTGTTCCTCGAGGATAGAGATGATGCCAATGAAGAGGAAGGAACCACGGCAGAGGTGAGGAGGACGGAGAGAGAGGGAGGGAGGGGATGACGAGCCGTGATTGAATATCCTGACTCTGTGCCCTCGGCTGTCACTAACACGGCTCCAACTATGTAGACTCCGAGGTAGCTGTTGTCTGAAGTTATGATTGATTACGGGCTGATCCCGATGGAATTCAGCTGATCAATGAGAGCGCTAAGAGCATTAGCTCCGGCTACTAGGGCGTCCCCAACTTCCAAATCAACGCACCTGGGGCCCACGGCTGTTGCTATGGTCATTGGTCATTGATCAGCACGGCTAAACATGTTAACCTTGAAAGCTAGGCATGCCTTGAACTGACATTAGCCTTGAATTCTTCCGTGCCCGTGGCACCCGGGATTCCAGCTTACTCTTACCTACGTTGAACATCCAAAAGCACGAGGCCGTATTTCTCACTTACCTGTCAGGCAAATAGCCATTCCCTTTGTTTACGAGTATCACCGGGAAGCTTTCCCATTTCGTGCTCGTCCGACTTGCTTCGCTTTCCTGTCATAAATGCAATGCCGCAATCACCCTCCCAGTGTTCTGTTGGGCTGTTATTCATGATAGCAGCTCGGCAGCCGCTCCCCTGCCATACGCCATGTGTCTCGGTGTTTGACTGCTTCTCCTCCTTCGACAGATACTCGGTTTCCTAGTGTTTGACATCTTAGTGTTTGACATCTTAGTGTTAGTCCTAGTGTTTAACATCGGTTTCCTAGTGTTCCCAGTCTGCAGATGCTCAGTATCCTAGTGGCTGACGCCTCCTTCCCCTTCGGTAGATACTCAGTATCCTCAGTATCCTAGTGGCTGACATCTCTTTCCCCTCTGTACAGATACTCAGTATCCTGGGTAACACGATGGCACTGCTGCGGCGCTGTCGGGTGAACGCCGCGCTCACCATCCAGCTGTTCTCACAGCTCTTCCACTACATCAACATGAGTGTGTTTAACCGGGTGGTGACGAACGGACCGGTCAACTACTGCAGCAGGTGGGTGACTGCGTTTGGGCCGTGAGACAGTGTTTGTGAATATGAGGTGGGAAGGAAGCCTGGAGGAGCGGAAGGAGGCAAGGGGCATTTAGTGATAGTCGTCGTCACAAATCATGATTAACTAGAGGATGCTTGCATGGATTCATTCACTCGCCGTAAAGGCACAAGAAAGCTATCGGTCGGTGATTGCTTTAAGACAATATTTTAAGCTTCAGTTTGATACTCTCAGCCCCAGTACGCGCTGTTTACTTCAGTTTAAAGGATATCATCACCTTACATCTTTTTTTTGCTGTCATATTATCATATTTTATCAGATCACCATAAAAAGTTGTAAGTGCACTTGCCTGCCGTCCCTGCCGTCGGCCACACCGGCCAGTTCGCTACTTAGAAGCCGCACTAGTGCCGTGCAGCCAGCCGCCGTATCGGTTTACCAGTGGTAAGCCGCTTTGGCTCGCCCGCCGGACGGCACGGCGAAGCGATACGAAGTGGGCTTGGTGGACGGTCGACGCTGCTGCGGATACGCGCAGAGAGACTGGGGGATGGCTGGTACCTGGGAGGGAAGCTAGTGTTGAGCTTTGGAGTGGGAGAATAGTATAGGGTATGGATTGAGGACCTTATGAATTCAGGCAGACAGCGCAGTGCAGCCTGAATAGACTCAAAGTGCAAAATGATGTTCCACGCTACATTTGGATGCCAACTAGCAGGCAGCTGAGCTAGAATTTAGATAGCGCCCTATCAGCGTTTGAGAAGACATCAAAAAGTAAAACTGTATTAGCACGTAGTGTTTATAGTATTGCATAATACGTATGTAAGCGTCCTTGTCAGACTGGTATCAGTTCTCCAATGAGCCGTTCAAATGATTAAAAAAAGGCTAAATAAGAACGACGGTCGCCAGATATTTTGTTAGCGGAGTTATGACAGCCACTGCAAATATTTTCCTCCCACCTTATGAACTTAGTGGCGCGGTGGCCCAGTCACGTGTTGCTGCCGCTCGTGCGGGAGCGGCTTGAAGCGTGTCTGCCATACTCGGGGGAACCGCCGCCGCACGCTCGGGCCGTGGTAGGTCAGCCGGTTGAGCTGCGATCAGCCGGTCGGCGGTCGGACGGTCGGTCGGGGTCTGGGCCCAGTTCATATAGAGCCCCTTTGCTGCTAAGGGACACTTATCGGAAAGGGCGACCCGACAGATGGGCTCATATAGCCACCCTTACACACCTGCACCAATGTTACCAAAAGTGTCCTTTTGAAAAGTGGCACTTTGGAAAAGTGACACTTGCCGTCTGGCTTTTCTATATGAACTGGACCCTGATCGGCCGGTTGGTTGGCTGGTCGGTCGGCCGGTCTGCCAGGCCACGGTCGGTGTTCGGTCGGTATGACTCCGATCGGTCGGTCGGTCGGTCGGTGGTTCGGTCCGGTCGGTCGGTCAAGCTCCAATCTGCCGGTGGTCGGCCGGTCGGTCGGTCGGTCGGTCGGTCGGTCAGACGGTCGGTCGGGCTGGCTAGCTGAATCCGATCGGTCGCGGTCGGCTGGTCGGTCGTCGTCGAGCTCCAATCTGCCGGTCGGTATCGAGCCATCCCGTCTCCGAATTATTCACCGCAGAGAACCCTGTTTGTCGGGCAGACCGACTGTTTGTCCAGCTCGCCGGCGGGCGCGCGGGCACGATCAGGTTCGATCGAGGGGACCGAATTGATCCAAGGTCGACCAGAGGTCAGGTCATTGTGCGGGAACGAGAGCGGGACTGGAACGTCACGGGAACACACGCCACAGCCAGAGGCTGTGTGAGAGGCCATGGCAGTAGGTATCAGTATGGCAGTATGACAATAATAATGGTTCTAAATGTTGAGTATCCATGACAGGTTGGATGATGATGTATGACTTGACGACGTCATGACGTCGTCAAGGTCATATTAGTTTTTCGTCAATAACTCCCGATCAAATTGAGCTAGCGAGTCGGGAAAGCCAGCAATGGACTCAGAAAGACCAGCCGAATCGAATGATATGCGATATGACCTCCTTCGACCATCTTCGTGACCTGGGGGCGCTGACCTGACCGTGACCCGAGGTCAACACCCTAAGTTGACCTCACCCAAACAAAAAGTATATCATTCGACGCGCCTGAGCAAGGCGAACACGATGCTGCCAAAATCGCGGCTCTGCGGCCGTTTTTTGCGAAGTTATTCACCAAAAACCGAACCGTGCCTTGGGACACTTGACCTGACCTCAGAGGTCACCGGTTGACCTAGGACCTTAAAATCGGGTATCAACCTCGGGTCGGGTATCAGTGTATTGTGCATACCAAATTGTAGCCCAATCGGGCCAACGAGAGGCGGGAAATTAGCCGGGATTCGTCAAATAGCCTCAGGGCATATTTCGTATATCGCGTTTGGCTTGATATGATGATTTATTTCTTTACAAGTTAGAATTTCCCCAGAAATATTTTTTACCTTACTTACTGTCAATACTATGATACATCTCCTGCTAATTTTTCGTAAACATCTGAGGTACAGAACACGGTCAAAGTTGAAAATACCCGGTTTGACCTAGTCAGGTCAAAGGTCATTGAAAGGTCACCGACATATATAAAATTTTCTATAAAACCTACATCCATTGCCTGTCTAATGGCGCTTACCGCAGCTTCCCCGCACTCTTACTTACATAGCAATGGGCATTTAAATCCCGCAATGTCGGCAAAAATCGTTGACCTTTCATGACCCATAACTCTGACCTCAGAGGTCACCCAGGACTAAAACTTGCTGAATAGATTGCCTTCCATAGGCACCCCGAGCATACCAAATTTCATCGAAATCGAAAGGGGCAGGGGTCGAAAGTACCAAATTCTGATCGATTTGACGTGGAATGACCCAAATAATAAACCAAATTATTTGAATATATTTGAATGCATTTGTAATAATTTGGTTTATTATTTACATCATCATCCAATGGTTCTATAGTCAATAAACTGACTTCATAAAAGGCCTCTCACATTAGCTACGTTTCAAGGCATTTCATTTCAAGCACTTTTCGTGTGTCTAGGAAAGTTACAGCAATGTTAGTCATGCGTGGGAAGTTTCATCATACCGCTATGCACAGGGTAGCCTGTAGATCGAGCGACTTCTCAGTGCGCGCGCGTTGTACGCTTCGATCGGTACGACTGTATTCTCGGGGCGGGATTAATTCGTCATGCCACCAGCTGAATCATTTGGTCGTTCTTTATAACGCTAGAGACAATAGCGCATACCACTGCCAGCTCGCTAACCTCTAATGCTCTCACACCAAACCTATCCCGGCGGCTCCACACGCAGCCGATAATAACCTGATTTCATAGCCTCCGACCCCCAATTCCCCGGTGTGAGCCGGGACTGGCGTGGGGCCGCGCCGTCGGTCGCGCGGCACGTCTGCTCTGCGCTGGTGGTCGGGTCCCCAGCGCACCGCCGCGCTCCGGAATTGTGTAATGGCTGGATTGGGTGGCTCCTAACTCGATTATTGGCGAGCTACCAGTCGTGTGTGCGGCGTTAATAGTAGTTCTAATGTTATGCCGTTTGGTGTTGTGACTTTTATAGGCGTAACCTTGTTTGGTGAGACTGTAATGGGCTGAAAAAGAGTATCATGGTCCATTGGCTGTGGGGTGGTGAATTATATTGAGTCAAACGATCCAAAACAACATCGACGCGAGCCGAGGCTGCGATGTCTTAGTAAAAGAGACCCTCATGGTTATTTTGCTCGTGATTGTCTGTGTTTAGCTAAGAGCGAGGCGTGAGCAATTGAGACGCATGTTTTTAGCTTTTTGGACTTTCACGATATATTCTGCCTATTTCAGCGACTAGATACGTTCCGTTCATTGAATATTTGCATCCAAAGACTGAGTGCTTCTTCCGCTCACAGGCTGTGGGGAGTGGCGTTTGAAGCGTGTTTTCATCCAGTGACTGACTTCACGTACCCTTCCACAGGTTGTGAGGAGTGCGTTTGAAGCGTGTTTTTATCCAGTGACGAGTGGTGTATCCGTCCACAGACTGGGGAGTTCGTTTGAAGCTTGTTTTCATCCAGTGACGAGTGGTGTATCCGTCCACAGACTATGGGGAGTGCGTTTGAAGCGTCGTCTGAGTCGGATCGAGCTGTGGGCCGACCGGCAGGGTCTGGAGCTGGCCGCCGACTGCCATCTGGGCCGGGTGGTGCAGGCCGCTCATCTACTCACGGTGAGATACCTACAGTGACAGAGAGGGGCGGATGGGTGAGATATGAGCTGGCTACCGACTGCTACCTGGGCAGGGCGGTGCAGGCCGCTCATTTATTGACTGTGAGATATTGGCTACGTTTCCATGACACAAGTTAAGCCGATTTTGAAAAATGGATTTGCTCCATCATAGCATTTAGGCATAATGTAAAAATGTAACTATAGGATTAGGTGCTAGCTAAAACCATATATACGCTCATTTTTTTGCATAAGGTAAATAGTTTCCGAGAAAAACGCACGTGAAATGTCGCTAAATCGATTTAGGCGTGTCATGGAAACGTAGTGATTGAATGAGTGGTGAGATTCAGGGGGAGTTAGAGGGCTGTTGTACTTCACAGGCATCTCACGTACCCACGTTGTGACGTGATTTTAGTCCGAGAATAGCAAGATATTTGCAGTCTTATTGAAAAGCAAAACTATTAGTCGCGTCTTAGTGCTCACAGTACAGGCATTTGCGTTTCATTCAGCCGACTTCTTCCGGTATGTCGACGTATCCTACTCGTATGTCCACCTTCCTCGAAGTCGAAAGGGCATCGGAGCCAGGCTGATCGGTTTCGCACAAATTGGCATCGCTGCCTTCAGCCGTAAATCGATACTTCCGCGGTGTAATTAACTTCATTCGCAAAAGCGTAGATGTGCGGGAGATGCTGCTCGAGCAAACACTTATTCGCGCGTCACTATTGGTGCTAAGATAAGAATAATTGCTGCAACATAATATGAAATAATATGGATAATAACTTCTTAAAAAGACTTGCCGTCTCCTCTGGATTTGTGTGCATACGTGTTATTTCTTTTCACAGTGTGTGTTTCGAACTTTCACAACTCCTAGTGGCAGCTCACTACGTTTTCTTTCCATAGAAATGAATTGTGTAAGGCACATTTATGTGGCTAAATCGGACGGACATTCGCGGTTGCCTATTGATGCCGATAATAGCCGTTTTCACGACGGGCTATCCGGCGAATGCACCTGATTTGACCAAATCTGCACCTAATTTCTTTTACAGCAAATATCTTTTCATTTCAGTGTTTTAATCGATGATGCTCTCTGATAATATGACAAAGCAGGCATATAAGCAATTAGTGCAACCCTAGCTGATAGCTGCTAAGAGACACACTGAACCTGATTTGACCAAATCTGCACCTAATCTGTACCAGATGTGCACCAAATGTGTACCAGATGGCCGTCGTGAAAACGGCTAATATCGATCATAAATCATTGTTTCTATTGGGCGCAAAGGACCTCCCGGCTGACTCGCCGTAACCTCCTAGTCAGCCAAACTTTTTCCACGCGTTTTACCGTACGTGTCTGTTAACCCGCTGTGTTTGTGTTTGTGTCGCAGGCGCCGAAGGCCACAGTGGACGAGCTGAGTGTAGTGAGCAGCTCGTGCTACCGACTCAACTCACTGCAGCTCAGGGCGATACTGAGTCGCTATCGCCCGGCCCGCGACGAGCCGGCCATATCGCCCGACCTCGTGGAGAATATCGTCCGGGTGAGTCCCGCTGAGCTGGGCAATGGGTTGAGCTGAGCAGTGAGCTGAGCTGAGCTGAGTTGAGTTTGGTGGGTGGTGAGTTGTGGAGTTGAACTCGAAACTGGCGGCAGATGGCTTTCGTGAAGGACAATCATAGTGAGTAATTACTAAGAGTGAGAACATTTTTCCGTAGAAAATATTCCGACTGAGCCATCTTCATTCAGGAGCACTCAGCTTCAGTACTCATATGTGGTAAACCGTCCTACGTAGTGAGCACTCATTCTGTCAGGGAACACCCGGGAACTAATCTGTCAGGAACTGAGTGCCTACTCGTCGTTCAGCAAGCACAGAATGTACACTCATTTGCGAGGAGCACACGTTGTGAGCACTCGCCTTATGCGAAGATGTGAAGTATGTTCTATGTTCTGTCGGGACGAGGTGCCCTGGCAAAATAAATGCAGCAATATTACAGCAGTATTTCTGGAAATCCGGCGGTCTATTTTGGTTCTAGCACTGACGCCATTCAAGATCTAGAGCCCTCGCTTGGGGAATAAAAACACCCTTTTAGCCCAGGATGAACTCGAACGGGCACCTATTTGTTGTTATTCTCAGTCTGGCATGATTGATTGCAGGGAGCACTGTGCTGTTACGGTGCGGCCTAATGTAATCTCTCGGCCGGTTGAACTGCAATAGGGTGATGTGCCCATTTCGCCGAGAATTCGGCCCATTAGGAATGAATTTAATCTTCGAAGGAAACCAATTAGTTGGGATGGGCCGCGTTCTGGCGATCGGGCCGCACGGGCGCGCTGTGAGCAGAGAGATAGAGCGGAGGAGCAGAGAGAGGGTGGGAGGAGCAGGGGTCAGAATATATGAGTTAGCGGCAGCATCATACAGTCGCCTTGCTTGTTAGTGTTCGTTTATTATCCTGTATAGTGTATAGACCAATTGGGTAGACGATCGTGGAAACAATCAATGGCGACTGTTAATTGTTGCTGAGTATGCGCATTTAACCAACCTACGAGTATTGTGTCACCTTGAAGAGCTGCCATTGCGATCAAATTGTATACCTGTAACGTGAATCATTTAATCTCTCGCTTTATTCGGGATAAGTGTGATGGTGTTTGATAAAAAGACTACTTACCGTCCTTTGTAGCTCGTGGGTAAGACTTCTGACTGCTCTCCACCGGTGACCTTTTACACCGGTGGCAAAGTGCATTTCTGACGATACTTCTGTCTCTTGTCCCACCCTCAGCTAATGAGGGCGTTTCTTACACTACCACTACCACGGAATATATAGTATACGACAGACGAGACTATATATTCCGTGCCACTACCCTTCAGCTGAATGGTGGAGTGCATTCCTGGCCATAGCTCTCCACCGTTCCCTTGAACGGTGGGGTCCCGGTGACATGACAGTTCCTTGCGAGAGACTGGGGATCGTTAGGTGAAGATACCTCACACTGGAATGGTAATGGGGAGTTAATTTTTACTCCCCTCTTTCCTCAGATGGCCGAGGGCACCTCGGACGAGCTGGCTCGCCAGGACGGCCGGCAGGTGCGACTCGAGGAGGACAGGGACCTGCAGCTGCCGTTCCTGCTCCCCGAGGACGGATACTCGTGTGATATCGTCCGAGGCATTCCCAACGGTACGTGTTTGCGGCGGTCTAACCGATCGTGTTAGCGCTGATTAAGTGAGTTTGGATCAGTCGCTGAGCCATGATGACTGCTAGTATCTGCTGTGGATACTGCATATCTAGTGCTTGTAATGAGTTATGTTGTCTTGTGACATAAGTATAACGGTTTCCTTCTGGAGACTGCTGAAGGTTTTGTGGATATTCTATACAAGGGTATGGCAACTCCCAATTTTAATGTTTGGGCTTGATGGGCTTTGTTTCCCTTGCGACGGCAGTTTGAAGACAGTGCAGTGCATTTTATGCGCTGACCAAAGCATGCTTACCACGCTATATGTTCTCTTCATACGCAGGTCTGGCCGAGTTTCTGGCGCCTCTGCAGCACGCCGGCCTGGCTCGGATGAGCGAACAGCCCACCAGCTGGGGCTACTGGACCATCTACATGACAGACCAGGACCTTACCAAACTGCAGGTGGGCGCTCGGTGATGGGAAATAGAGAGAGTGTGGTGTATGACAGTCGTTGATGACGTAGCTGCAGCTCGATGCCTTTTAGCTTGGTTGCATTAAGTATTTCTGGTAAAGCTACCATGTGAATTTATTATGTCATTTAATTGATTTTTCAGTAATGATATGTATAATTGAAATAACTGTTCTAGTTATCGATACCGCTGTAAATAGTGATGGACGCTCGATCCTGCAGCGATTTTGGTCGACCTTCCTCGGTTCGATGAAGCCCTGCTAATGCCTACCATCCTGCCCAGCAACAGTCGATGGTCCTCCCGGTCGTATTGCGTGTCGAGCTGACGAGAAGTGGGACTGAGCATTGAGTCGAAAATTAACCGTACGACGACGGAATATCTTCTCTCTGCCGTATTATCAGTTTAACATGAAACGGCTATACATATGTAGAGCTCAAGCTCCACCATACCCTTAAATACGAGGGAACAATTGTGATTTTAATCTCGTTTAGCTTTTTATTTTGCCTTTTCCATTATTCGTTGACTTTTATTGGATGATTTTATTTATTGAGTCTCTAGGGGTAGAATAAAAACCCAACCGTTTCTCTGTCTGACCTCCTTGCGTTTCGCTGTGTTGATCCCTCTGTGTTGCACGGCTGAGTCGCGGCCTGTCCAACAACAGCAGCAGCAAACCAGTCGCAGCCAGCTATCCCCATCACTCCCTCACTGTATGCCCCTCGTTGCAGCAGCAGCAGCAGCAGACCAGTCGCAGCCAGTCGTCTCTCTCCGTTCGCTCCCTGGCCAGCGTCCCTCCGTTTGGCAACGAACAGCCGGTCATCCAACAGCTGCGACTGCACAAAACCAACACCGGCATGGGACTCAGCATTGTAGCGGCCAAGGTAAGGCACGAATATGAGCTCAGGACGGCTGATATAAGAATATTGTGAGCCTGACGTAAGACGTGAGCGCGATGGCGTGAATTTGGTAGCTCTGTGCTTTTGATCGACATGATTTTTCACCGTTGGTTGGCTAGTTATCTATGTGAGATGTAGTTTCTCGTATGTGTATACTGCGACACATCTTTGTACAAAGTTAAAATTGATGAATGAGAGAATCATGTTAATGAGTATAAAGTCGCCGCCCACTCTCCTGATAATAATTGCTAAACTTTTGTCATTAAAGCGGGCAGTCAACTACAAGCTAACATCCATGGCTTCCAAGTATCATTGGCCGTCCCATCCCGTCCTCACCAACCTCTGATGGCGCAGGGAGCGGGTATGGACCGGCCTGGCATCTACATCAAATCGGTGGTGCGAGGCGGCGCCGCGGACCTGGACGGGCGACTGTCGGCCGGCGACCAGCTGTGTGAGGTGGACGGACATAGCCTGATCGGCGTCTCACAGGAACAGTGAGTTGGGGCGAGGGGACAGGGGATGGGAGGGCTATTGCGAGGGCTTAGGTGGACGGACACAGCTTGATCGGAGTGTCACAGGAACAGTGAGTCGGGGAGGGGAAGGGGAGGCCTGTCATACACAGTCTGATCGGAGTGTCACAGGAACAGTGAGTCGGGGCGAGGTGTGTGTGGGGGGGGGGGGGATGGAAGGGCTATTCGGAGGGCTTATGTGGACGGACAAATCCTGATCCTGAATTTCGCAACAAGACATGTGAGTTTGGATGGAGAGGGGTAAGTTAGGGGAGGGTTGGCGTGAGGCGATGTAGTAGATTTTGGTATGGTGTGTTAAATCAGCCTAGAACGATGATGGTTACGATTAGTGATGGGCTGTGCTGAACGCTGCAGGATTCTGATCGTCATACGAGTTGTTGATTCCTGTACCCACCCCTCTCTTCCAGGGCCGCCGAGTACATGACCCGCACCGGACCCGTGGTGAACCTGCTGGTGGCCAAACAGGCGGCCGCCTACCACGGTCTAACCACTCTGCTCTCGCAGCCATCGCCCGTCATGACCAGAGGTGGGTGAGCGCTGAGGCGGTAGGAGGCTTGGGTGCATGATGGTGAAGGGCATTGGTGAAACTCGGGCTCCATTTTGAGGTAGGGTGGTGCGGCTTCGTCTTAGCTGAGTGAAAACATGAAAGGGGTGGATCAGTCAATTTGCTTTAGGGGTGGTTTGCAATGTGCGCAGAATACAATGGTGGATTGCCAGCTGACACTTAATACACCTTTTTGCATTTGAATTCAACCATTCGCCAAAACTGTTTGAGGAGCCATTTCGACAATCGGCATTGAGCGCAACTATTCCGGCGTGGTGCGTTTCATTTCAGCCATTCAGGAAAACAGATAAGTGTATTAGGTACACACAAAACATTTCGATAGAACGAGTTACAATCCGAAACGTAGTCACACACGGTAATTTGTACGCAAACTGGACACCGTATGGATATCGGTGAGTGAGGTCTCGTTCCGCCTCTGGCAGCCGTCAGTGGGTTACGATAAGCTCCTCGTTGACTTGTGTGGCGGGCCGCAGGTCGAGCGGCACCTCTGTGTCCAGGTCGGGCGCCTCGGGCGGCTCGTCGGCCTGCTCCTCTGAGGTGCTGTGGTGACGGTATATGCCGCCGGCGTCGCTGTCCAGGTCCACACGCACCACCTCACGGGGAGTCTCCTTTGGTTTGAGGTACTCGGACTCTGTGAGACGGAACCTGTTGACGGGCGGGCTGGCAGCGTCCGAGCCATACGCCGAGTCCACCCTGACTCCCGGCCTCTCCTCCCTCTCCCCGTCCTTCTTCTTCTTCTTCTTCTGCATCCCGCCGCCAGCCCGCTCAGGGGGGCGGCGGCGCAGGCGGGTCGAGCGGCGGCTCGGTCCGCCCGACACCCTCGATGAAGTCGACGACCCTCGCCGCCGGGCCGCCGAGGACGTCGACCAGGCGAGGGTCGACACCCCAGCGGCGGCGGCGGGCCGCCTCATAGGCCGGACAATCGGTCAGCAGGTGCGTCACGCTGTCGGGCTCCCCGCACGCGGGGCATTCGTCGTTGGCTGCCAGGCCAATCTTGTAGAGCGTGTCGCGGGTCAGCGGTGATGTGCCGGTCCTCAGCTGGGACAGCGTCACCGACCCCCAGCGCGCCAGGGAGTCATGGCCAGGCGTGGGGTGCGGGTGGGCAGCGGTTGTCCTCCGTCGCGACAGCTCCCGGACATGGCGCGCGACGGCGGCCCGCGCACTGGACAGGTCAATCGGTGCGCTATCTTGGTCGCCCGCCGTGGCCTCGCCAGCCAGGCGGTCGGCGGTCTCGTTGCCGTCCAGCCCGGCATGGCCTGGCACCCACTGGAGCACCGTCTCGGTGCCGTTCTCGGCGAGGGTGTTCAGCAGCCTCCAGACCTCGGCGGCCAGAGCCATGGTCTGGCTAGCTGGGCCGCGGCCGAGTAGTTGTAGCCCAGACCTTGAGTCGGTGAGGAGGCGGACCGACTTGATCGATGCCAGCTCCCCGTCCTCCAGGCCGGCCACAGCCGCGAGCGCCTCGCGCATGGCGGTCAGTTCTGCTCTCAAGCTGGAGCAGACCGCCCCTGCAGGAGCGCGCACGGTTTCTTCTTTGTTGAGGTGGTGAAACTGGATCAGCGCGCCTGCGCCGCCCTGTTCCATCCCGCCGCGAGCCGAGCCGTCCGACCAGATAGTAACATCCGGTTGCGGGAGCTCTGCAATGGCTCGCAGGGCAGCTTCCCTGCGGACTGCAGGCGGGTCCGACCGGCGGGTGGCCACGGGCAGGTCTACCCTGAAGGTGGTGCCGCCGCGGTGGCCCAGCCATGGCGGGTCGCAGCTGTAGAACGCCATGGGTTCCACCGGGAGCTCCTCGATTCCTGCCTCCTCGGCGAGCCACTTGCCGACCCTCCTGAGGCACGGTCGGTGAGGGAGTGCTGCAGTCTCGTCTGGTGGCTTGGGCGGCGGTCTTCCCGCGGCGGTGGCGTCGTTGCGTGTTCTTTGCCATGCCTTGTAGGCTCGGTGTTGGAGGCGCGGCTGTACCTCCTTTCGGAAGAGGGACCTGCCCGGGTCGCTCGGGGGCAGACGGATTACACGCTGGTACTCCGTGCCTGCCAGCTGTAGGGCCCGAAGCGAGAGTGTCGGGAGACCAGCCTCGGCCAGGAGGGCGTCCTTCCGGGTCGCACGTAGGCAGCCGGTGATGACACGGGCGCACTTGTTTTGCTCGGCTTCGAGGCGTCCTCTTACCGACGGGGCGGCGTATGTCCCGAAGACGGCTGCGCCGTAGTCGAATAGGGCCCGGATATAGCCGATGTAGGCCGCTCTGATGGTTCGGCGGTGGCTTCCCCAGGTCTTTCCGGCCAGTGCCTGTAGGCATCGCCTCCGTCGGGACATCTTAGCTTTCAGGTCGTCGATGTGGTCCGCGAAGGTGAGTTGGGGGTCAAACTTGATGCCCAGGAAGGTCGGGTTGCGGGAGTAGGGCAGTTCCTCTCCGCGCAGCGTCAGGTGCGGCTTGACCTTCCCTCCGCTCTCTCTTGGGTCGAGAGTGAACAGGGTGGCGGTGCACTTCGTCACGCTGGGCGTGACTTTCCAGCGTCGCAGCCACGTGTCCACCGCGTCCAGGCAGGGCTGGAGGAGGGCGTCGCACTCTCTGGCAGTGGGGGCGCATGCCAGCAGTGCCACGTCGTCCGCGAACAGAGACCGCGAGACGTGCTCCGGCATTGCTACGTCGATGTCATTAACGTAGACCAGCCATAGGAGCGGCGCCAGCACGCTGCCCTGGGGGAGGCCCTCCTGGAAGACCCTGAGGTCTGAGCGGGCAGCGCCCCAGCGGACGCGGGCGCGCCTGTCCGACAGGAAGGCCCTCAGCCACTTGATGAAACAGCCGGGGACTCCCAGCCGAGCCATCTTGCAGAGCAGGGCGGCCCTCCAGACTCGGTCGTAGGCTCTCGCCGTCCTCCTCCTCTTCCTCTCTCCTCTCCTCCTCCCTCTCTCTGTCCTCTTCCTCTCTCCTGTCCTCCTCCCTCTCTCTGTCCTCTTCCTCTCTCCTGTCCTCCTCCTCCCGGTCCGCCGCCGTCCGCCGGCGCCCCCGAGCCCCAGTGGACGACTGCCGGCGGAGCGAGGCTCGGGAGCGCGAGGTCGGCACGGCCGGCGGCAGCGAGACACCGCGCGACCTCGACCGGTCACCGCCGGCGGCTGGCTTCTGCCGGGCGCGGCGGCTGGTGCCCGGGATCCGCGGCAGGCTCAGCTCCGACTGAGACCCCGACACTGCGTCCCGTTTCATTTCAGCCAGCAGCGATGCGTAGGTGGCCAGCCGATTGGGGCGAGGCGACCCTGGCGACACTCCGGAGCAGCTGGGCGCGATGCTCAGGAGCTGGTCGGTCAGCTCCTGAGTAGTTGCCACACTCTCATCGACTGACCGGGGAGCGGCGCGTGGCTTCAGGTACTGCGCCAGCTCGGGGTCGTCCAGTGGGTTGCGGCTAGGCGTAGCCGCCGTTACCGCGTGGCTCCGCGGCCACCGGCGCGTCGTCCCTGGGTTGCTCCCAGCGGTGGAGGCAGCCCTGCGGGTTTGGCCTGCTTGTTCTATGCCAGATTGGGGAGCGGTGGCGAGGACGGAGGCCGCGTTGCCGCGAGCGATGGCCACGGACAGCCGCTGTCGCAGCCACTCCGTCTCGCGACGCTCACCCGTGCAGGTTGCCAGGCGTCTCCCCAGGTCCTGGACGAAGGCGGCGGCGGCCGGACCATAGACACCGGTTGTCTCCAGTGCCAGCGGAACAAAGCTATACCTCCTGGCTAGGTCCGCATAACGCTGCCGCTTTCGCTCTTCGGCCTGCCTTGCAGCTGCACCCGGTTTCAGTGCGGACTCCACCGCTATGTGGTCGGCGAAAGTGTCGACGCAGGTCGCGTCCCACGTCAGACACTTGCCCTCGCGGAAGGGGAAGACGGTGATGCCATCCGGTCGTCTGCCGTCGCCCCGGTCGAGGCCGACTGGCTCCAGAATGGCGGGAAAGCCAGCGCCGGAGAGAGCGCGACGCACCACGTCGTTCAAGTGGGCATGACGCGAGTGGCGACCCGCACTTTTCTGGCAGGAGAGGCCATGATGTCCCAGCGGGGTGACGGGGCGCGCACACAGACGGCACCGATGCGGCTCGCAAACCGGGGCGCCGAGTCTCAGGGCCACAGCGACGCGGACGGTTTCGTCGTCGAGGTGAAGCCCGAGACTCGGCACCGGCACCGCCTGGATCCAGGCCGCTGTGTGCGGCTGGCCGGCGGCGATGAGCCGAGCTCGGTCGATCTGGTTGGCTGGTACCAGTAGGCGACTTTGGACCACCGTACAGGCGACGGTGTCCCACGCGCGCTGACTACTGACCAGCTCACCGTCCGGCAGCTGCTGTCGGTCCACCCCTGTGCGATGAAGGAACGCGCTGACTGCGGTCTCCAAGGTGTCTGAGAGTTCATCAGTCACACTCGGACAGATGGAACGGATGAGGGGGCGTGCTGCGTTTACCGACGCAATGTACGCTGGTAGCGCCAGTGCCTCGACTGACCGGATGCCCAGGCCGCCGAACTTCACTGGAAGCGACGCCTGCTCCCATGCCGCAGGGTTTATGGCCACGTTGCAGACCGCTTCTAGTGTGCTGCGCACCATTTCGTCAGTAGCCTGGAGTACGTGTGGGGCTTTGAACGCCGGTGCGGAGCGCAGCAGGTACGTCAGACGCGGTGCCGATACGTGGTGCGCCAAGAAAAACACCGCAGTGTGGCTGTCTAGCTCGCGCAGCCGGGTGCAGAGGCGTTGCACCATAGCAGAGGCTGCCTCCCCTGCTGCTCCTATGCTGCCGTCGGTCAGGGGAGAGCCAAGCAGAGATAGGTTTGTGAGCTCAGTCTCTTTGACGTCAGGCAGCGCAGAGCAGATGGCGCTGATGGCAGCGTCGCGGTGGTCCGAATCTTCAGCGCCAATGAAGGCCACCTCACACTTGGCCGCGTTCAGTGAGAGACCAGCGGCTGCCAGCGCTGTTGGAAGTGTTGCGATGTCAGCAGCGACCGCG